CTCTCCATCAGAACCTCTCCATCAGAACCTCTCCATGAGAACCTCTCCATCAGAACTTCTCCATCAGAACCTCTTCATCAGAACCTCTCCATCAGAACCTCTCCATCAGAACCTCTGTAAAACATTGAAACAGCTTCATGGACCTTCAGGTCCTGGAAGCTGCAGAACCTGTGACCCGGTTGAGGTTGAGGGCCGGTACCGGTTTATGTGCGGGTCCAGAACACAAACCGAGCCCTGCTCTGGAATGGGCAGAGTGGTAGTAGCCGAGAGTCCCAGTGAGGGCTACAGTCAGGCGGGCGACATGCATTAACCTGTCGGAACCCGTCAGTTTGCTCCAGAACCGAACCTACCGAAGAAGGTGACGGCAAAGCCCTCCAGCACGCACGCCCAGCGGCCCAGGAAGAAGAACCCGCGGGCGTTGGTCAGGAAGCTGATGACCCCCCCGGACAGGGACACCAGGAAGTCCGCCAGGGCCAGGTTCACGATGACGTAGTTGAGGGGCTGCCGGAGCTGCTTGAACCTGAAGGTGACGAACACGACCAGGAAGTTCTCCGTGAGGGACAGGGACGTCACCACGAACATCAGAACCGCCAGCACCGTGAAGGTCCAGGGCGCGATGTTCCGGACGGGTCCGCTGAACGGGTCCGCCGCTGCGTGCACGGGCTCCATGGTCGGCTCCATGGTTCGGGACGGAACCTCAGCGGGGACCGGGTCCGGTTCGGCTCATGAGAAGTTCGGGCTGAGACGTGCGCGCTCTGTTCGGGTAAAGTTCGGACGGGATGCTGGACTTGCAGTCAACTGGAGCAGCCGCTGGTTCCGAGGGTGATGCGGGCGCGCGCACCGCCAGCCTCTTATATAGAGTCAGGCGGCGCGTGCGTCACAGCTGCTCCCAGACCATGGAACCCTCCTCAAGGTTCCGATGACACCAGAGGAGTCCAAAGAGCCCCGAACCGGACCGGTCCACTCAGAACAGAATTCTGACAAAGTTTAAAGATGAAGATTAAAACTGGACCTGATCCGGTTCTGTAGACTCCGAGAACTGATCAGCTCAGATGTCCAAACCCCTTGTCCTCCAGACTTGTCCTCCTGACTTGCTGTCCTCTTGACTCTATTTCCTCCTTACCTGTTGGCGTCCTGATTGTTTGTCCTACTGATCCATTGTCTTCCTGACCCATTGTCCTCCAGCTCTGTTGTCCTCCTGACCTGCTTTTTTCCTGATTTTTGTCCTCCTGACTTTGTCCTCCTGACTTTGTCCTCCTGACCCATTGTCCTCCTGACCTGTTGTCCTCTTGAGCGGTTGTCCTCCTGACTTATTGTCCTCCTGACCTGTTGTCCTCCTGACCCATTGTCTTCCTGACTTATTGTCCTCCTAACTAGTTGTCCTCCTGACTTGTTGTCCTCCTGACCCGTTGTCCTCCTGACCTGTTGTCCTCCTGACCCCTTGTCCTCCTGACCTGTTGTCCTCCTGACTTATTGTCCTCCTGACCTGTTGTCCTCCTGACC